TGCACCTTGTTGTCTCGGATTCTCCAGCATCTGCAGTTCCTACTATCTCTCATTTCTTTACTGTCTGCTTGGATAGAGAGCTCAGAATTGCAAGTGGCCTCAACAAGTTTCAAAATGGTTGCTGGAGGTGGATGGGTGTGCACGGTTTCCCAGTTATGTTCTACGTGTTAGGTGGGTGTCTAACATGCTGCTCCCAATTCACTACATTTAATTTAATTTGATTTGATTTGATTTATTGTTGTCACATGTACCGAGATAAAGTGAGAAGTATTGTTTTGCATGCTATCCAGACAAACCATACCTTACATAAGTACATCAGGGTAAAAGAACAGAATGCAGAATATAGTGTTACAGCTACAGAGAAGATGGCAGGGACAGATTAATGCTAAAATATAAGAGGTTTGTTCTCTGATAAGTCTGATAACAGCGGGGAATAAGCAGCTCTTAAATTTGTTGTGACATGTTTTCAAACTTTTGTATCTTCTGCCCAATGAAAGAGGGTGGAAAAGAGGATAACCAGGGTGGGAGGTAGGGAGGTCTTTGATTATGTCGGTTGCTTTCCTGAGGCGGTGGGAAGTGTAGACGGAGTCAATGAAAGGAAGGCTGATTTTCGTGATGGACTGGGCTGTGTTCACAAATCTCTGTAACCTCTTGTCATCTTGGGCAGGGCAGTTGCCAAAACAAGCTGTGCTGCATCTGGATAAGATTGCATGTCTACCAGCTCACTGAGAGCTCACAAGTGGGTTTCTAACCCTATGGCGTGTTGAGTCGCCTAAACTGCCAGCCAATAAGAGCTTTTGAAACCTAATGACCACACCTACTGTGGAGGGTGAGAAGGGAAGACTTCGTTATTTTCTTGTCAATGAAGTCTGGGTGACAGGGTGAGTTTATCTCCAGAATAAACACACACAACCTTTTCTCCTTCTCGTCACTTTTCCCACCACCCGCAATAATTTGCTTTTATATTAACTCCCCATGTCGAAAACACGGAACGTCATTCGTCTTTTTTTATGAGAACAAAGTACCGTGGATTCTGGAAATCTCAAATGAAAACAGAAAGTGCTGGAAACACTCAGCAGGTGTGGATACACGTGACTGGTTGGGATTTTACCAGTGGAAAACACGTGGAAAACAATCGGGAGTGAAGCTCGGTGCTTTCCCAGCCACAGGATATTTCATAGAACCGTAGAATCCCTGCAGTGCAGAAAGGGGCCAAATGGCCCATCATCACTCCGAATAACTCTCACCCAGGCCCACGCCAACCCCTCCAACCCTATCCCTGTAACCCCGCATTTCCCATGGCTAACTCACCTAACCTGCACACCCCTGGACACATTGGGGCAATTAGTATGGCCATTCCACCCAAACCTGCATGTCTTTAGACTGTGGGAGGAAACTGGAGCACCCGGAGGAAACCCACACAGACACAGGGAGAATGTGCAAACTCCACACAGGCAGTCGCCCGAGGGTGGAATCGACCCGGGTCCCTGGCGCTGTGAGGCAGCAGTGCTAACCAGGAATATTCAAGACTCAAGGAGCCTGGTGATGGGTAGTGAATCAAAGCAATCAATTCGCCAATCAATGACCATTGTAAGCATCTTCTGGCATTTTAACCCCCAAGTCAGACCCTACGCCTGCCACAGGAAGTCACCTGGTACATCGGTACAGTTTCCCAGCAGCTCCCTGCGATGGAATTGCCTTCTCTCCCAGAGACTGCATCTTCCACTCAGGGGAGTCCCCTCCACCAATAGCCGCTCCTGTGTCTCCAACACTACCACTGCACGGCTGACCCTATCATGGTTCTTTTCTCTGTTGTTACAAATTTATTCACATGTGGGGATGTCTGGGTCAGCATTTATTGCCCATACTTGGTTTCTCCCTTGACGAGACGGTGGTAATCTGCCTTCTCGACCTGCTGTGGACCATTTGATGTGGGAGGCCCAAGCCACCATGAGAGAGGGAGCTTTTAACCAATTTGGCCAAGGACTCGGAGAGGCAGGTCACCATCCTTCATTGGACAGTGTTCCTGGTTGAGATCCCTCAATTGACTGCCTCTGGTAAAAATCCCCCCTGTGATCCCATCATTCATCTGGACAACCTCAGACCATTATTTGGTGTTGCTGGTAAGCTGCAACTTTCATAATCCAGATTGTCGTGAGCAAACTAAACCAGGCGGCCAACGTCCCATAATGAGCTGTGCTGAAAATTCCACTTGTTGAAGATTTGTGTTGCCCTTACATGGAGATTACTGATCCTGCTGAGTGTAGATCATTGTTTTTATAGAGTCATAGAGTCATACTACATGGAAACAGGCCCTTCAGTCTAACTAGTCCACACCCACTATGTTCCCGAACTAAACTGGTGCCACTTGCCTGTGTTTGGCCCATATCCCTCCAAAATGTTCTCCTCTCACTTTAAAAATATGCCTCCTAGTTTTTCTTCTACAGTACTACCCAGGTCCCTGCCATTAATTGCATAAGTCCTGCCCTTGTTTGTTTTACCCAAATTGCAACACCTCGCGTTTATCCAAATTAAACTCCATCTACCACTCCTCGGCCCATTGACCCAACTGATTAAGATCTCTTTGTAATCTTAGTTAACTTTCTTCACCACTTGCTTCTCTAAATTTCTCTTCCTTTCACTCTCTCTGTCTGAAGGAGCTCAAACTTCTAGAGGCTCTACTGACCAGATCTTAACTGGCGATCTTGGTGTCAGGCCAGCAGTTGGACCATTTATCCTTTTTGCCAAAACCTGCATCGTTCAGAGCATTGACAGAGACTCCAGGCAGGTTTGTGAGATTTGAGCTGCAAGTTAGGTCAGTTCCAAAACCTTTCACAGACTGGAATTTCTGCGATGGCTTCAATCTTTCCAAACTCTTGCAGACTCAGTGAGCACACCAACTTGCTGTTTGGCCAAATGATTCAGAAGTGTTATCGGGAAGAATCGACAATACTAGAGAGGGTATTAGCTTAAAATGAAAGCAAGGAGAGCAGGTCAAAAGTGATCACAAAGCTCAGAGATTCACACAAATATTGGGGAAAATCTACACAGCTAAGTCAGCAAAGGTCTTTATTTCCGCAGCTACGTAGCTGATGTGTTAATATTTTATGAAAATCGATTGCCATTTCTGTCTCCATCTGAAAATAAGACCTTTTAATCAAATTGAAGTAAATTAGACATGCATTCTTCATGTACTCAGAGGGTGTTTTTAAATGATTGTTCCAATGAAAATGTTCAATGTCTAGTGGTTGTGAGATTACCTCTGCTCATTTGCTTTTTTTCCTGCCTATTAACGGTCTCGGAACCGACCTCTAAGGCAGATGTTGCACTAATGCAACAATTATTGAAAATTTTCAGAGATTAACCCCTTAAATGCAGTAAACTTGCATTCATTTAACCTCCCAGCTTCCAATGTGTGTGGTTTGACAAGTATGACATCTGCTGAATAACATCCATTTTCATGCTGTTGGACAATGTAATGTATTACCACAAGTGCCTGTTGAAGTCAGTTCAATCATGGTTCTTCAGAGGGAACTAAGTGGGTGAAAAAAGACACATTAACAGGTAGAGGAAAGGAGAAAGGCAGGGAGCTAGCAGAGACAATGGGGCAAAGGGTGGAATCAGCCTGCTTTTACACTTAAACTTCTCTAAACTATGAGAATTGCGTCCTAAATTATAAATAACCTTTGATTGAGTAAGAATGACAAGACTGATTTGGTCTCTAATTGTCCCCGTCTGTGGCATTAGAGTTTGTGCAGCATTTAATGATAACATGAGGTGTCTGGAGCAAGCTCATTGATATCTGAAAGCCAAAAGATTGATAAATGGTCACTGCTCTTGAGCATCTCCCAGTGACTGGTAAGAAACATAGCAAAAGGAGAGACCTTTGAGCACATAGCCTGTTTCTGAACTGCTCCATGGATGACTAGAAAAGCAGAACTAGGAGAAGCCTTTGTTATGCTTGGTTTAGTTTCTTAATTAATTGCTAAATTAGCAATGAGACCTTTTCTTAATTATTCCAATAACACATTTCCACACTGTAGGGATTTTATGGATTCTATAGCATAGTTTGTCCAATATCCATTTGATAAGCCGGCATCAGCTTTTAAAGAATGTCACTGAGAGTATCCAAGAAAGAGAAGGGGATTTTTTTTCAGATGTTATTGGCATTAACAGGGTATGGGGCGAAAACAAGAATGTGACATTGATAGAGAGTCAGCCATGATCATAACGAATGGCGGAGCAGACACAAAGAACTGAATGGCCTACTCCTGCTCATAGTTTGCTTAAAACCTGGAAACTCTGTTACGTTGTGGTATATTAATTGTGTATGATTGCATACACGTAACTACCACTCCATTCCTATACTCCAGGCACACTCCATTTCTTCCCAGCCATCAACCCGAACCCACCTCCTCTCTTGACAACGTGTCCCCTCTCCCAACCACGCTCTTCACTTTGCAGCTTATTTCTCACTCCTGGTAGTCCACAGTA